CCCAAACCTTCTGCAAATCATTCTGTGATTCTATGGACATGTAGGGCTCAGAGCTTGTCTCATTTAACTTGAGCACTGTAAAATTTGTGTCTGAATTCTGAACTTCCCTCTTTCCTTGTGGTCTGCAGAGAGAACTGTAATTTCATTCTGTCTGGGTTCAGTACTTGTTTTAGGATGATCTAAATTAGCTGCTGTGAGAACCTCTCCCTTGCCATTGTCTTGTAGAAAGGCTGAGAAAATTTTGGGTACATAGCACCAGGGATAGTTTGGTGCCTCATATTTTTGGGGGTTGTCTTATTTGTTCTCATGTTGTGTGAGAAAACTGCAAAATATCTGCTGGTGACGTGGGCTTTGGAGATCCACTGAGCTGCTTCTAAAGCCTAATGGGTGCTCTGCAGCCTAAGGATCCAAACATCATTGGAATTTGGGTTTATCAGCTTTGCTGCTGATTGGTTCTTCAGGAATTAGACTGAATAGAAGAAAGAAATAAAAAATAAAGAAATACACAATAAAGAAAACGAGATGTTGGCAGTGCAGCCTCTGAAAGGACTGGGCTTGCTGTCTCCTGGATGTTCATCTCAGTTTGGTCAGCTGTGAGAAACTGGATTGAATCAACTTCATGTAGGGTCTTCTGGGCTGTGCTGGAGCAGGTGCTTGCACAGTAAAACATTCTGCTTTCCCTCATTAGATCTGGGATGCTTGGGATGCTCTCCACGTGTCTGCTTCCTGACCATGTCTCTCCCCCCTCCAGGTTGTTGCAGGAAGGCGCGGATGTGAACGCGAGGCACAGGCTGGGCTGGACGGCTCTCATGGTGGCAGCCATCAGCAGGAACTCCAGGTACGTGTGTCTCACATCCTCACTGGGGCACTTCAACCCACAGTGAGCTCCCGTAAAGTTTGGGATGTGCTGTGGAGCTTAACCCAAGGGAGCTTGTGACTGCTGCTATGCCCAGTCTGTGGTGTGAGGGATTGGGGCAGGCTGCTCCACAGTCCCGGGGACGTGACGTCTGAACTGATGGTGCCGTTCCACAGCAGCTCTCAGGTTTTGGCCTCTGATGATCATGTGCCTGTGGGATGTCATTGTGGTGGGTAGTTGGACACCCCACCATCCAAAATCACTCCCATAATAGCTGTTGTGTCCCTCCTCACTGGTGGGGCCATGGCCGGGGCTTTCATCCAGGCCTTTCTGGAGCAAAAAGCCTGAATGCTGTGCCCTCTCTCTGCAGTTCCCATGATGATCACTCTGCCTTCTTGTAACCTTTTAAAGACACTCCTAAATATATTCAGTCTACAACTAAATTCAATTAGCTTTTTTTATTTAAGGAAAAAAAGGGGGAAAAGAAATCCAATTTTGGAAAACGTGGGACAGACGGGAGAATGAGCTTTGATGTTACAACCTCTCAGGGATGCTTTACTTAGTCACAAGTTCATAAGCAAAAAAGCCTAATTACTTGGGAAAACACAGGATTAAAGCAGTGCACAAAGGCTGAATATCCGCTCTCGGGCGACACGATTCCAATCCGTGTGCCGAGTTCGTGTGTGGTGCAAACTTTGATGTGTGCTATGACAAGCTGAAAGTGGTGACCTCCTCGGGGAGCTCCTTAGGACAGGCCCAGAGGTGGGGGCTCGGGGCTGTTTGTTTAACTTTGATGTCCGAGCAGCAACGGGCCCCGTTGTTTGCCCGTCCGCGAAGGGACTGGCTCGGGAGCCTCCCACCTTTCCCAGTGGACAATGGTCAGCAGCGGAGTGTGACGACTGTTGACCATTCCGAGTGACTGGTGGAGCAGAACAGGGCTTCCCGAGTTGCAAAGGCTAAGAGGAGGCAGGGAGAAAGGCTGCTCGTGGGACAATAATTACCTAAAATTGGGCCTAAAATCAAGTGGAAATGCTAATGAAAACATCTCTGCAGTAAAAAACGTGCAGTCCTCAGGTTGGTCCCTGCTGAGAGGGCAGAGCCATCACCACATCTGCCTTAGCTGTGTACCTGGCCAAAAGAAAAAGCTTTTGGCTCTGTTGGGCAAATTCTGTTTATTTTTCCCACATTTTGGATGAATACTGACTTTAATTGAAAATTAGGAAGTCCTTCAGTACCTGAAGCACTGTAGGACTTGTCTCCATATAGCAGAAGAGTAATTAGATACAGCTGAACTTTATGATCTTAGAGGTCTTTTCCCACCTTAGTGATTGTGATTCCATCCTTTATGGAGGCAAACATAAATGCAAGCCAGACCTGCTCCTGGTGTAGCAGCTCTGGGATTGTGCCAGATGAGGTTTTGGCCCTTGGTCCTGTTTCTAGCATTGTAATGTCCACAGTGGGGTCTGGGAAATGCAATGAGCTGGAACAAGACCACAGAGGGTTTGAAATTCCCTGCATAGTCCACAGGGTGAGCTTTGTAACCCAAACTAGACATTGTGCCTGGGGTGGACTGAGGAGGGGAGGAATCAGAGGCACTAGGATGCAGGATTGTTTTTAGAGTGTGATGCTCTAAATTTGCTTTCTTCAGCCTCAGCAGCTGATCTCATAGAATCACAGAATCGTGGAATGGTTTGGGTTGGAAGGGACCTTGAAGCCTGTGCAGTTCCACCCCAGTGCCACAGGCAGGGATACCTTCCACCGGCCCAGGTTGCTCCAAGCCCCGTCCAACCTGGCCTGGGACTCTTCCAGGGATGGGGCAGCCACAGCTTCTCTGGGCAACCTGTGCCAGGGCCTCACCACCCTCACAAGGAAGAATTTCTTCCCAGTATCTCATCTACCCATGTCCTCTGTCAGTGTGAACCCATTCCCCCTTGTCCTATTGCTGTCTGCCTGCGTAATCTGCCCAATTTGTGGATTTGAAGTTGTTATGACTTTTGGTCCTTAGCCCCCCAGCCCAGCAGGCTCTGGAGAGGTGAGCTGGGGCTGTCCCTGGCTCAGAGATGGCAGGACCTGCAGGTACTGTTTGCCTGCAACAAGACCAAGGTCATTCCAATTCGTTTAACTCACTGGCTCTCTCAGCACTTCCACTTTTAAGTTTGCTGATACCTGCACAGGTTCCTCAGCACAGCTTCAAAGGGCTGGGATGCTGGGAACTGAGATGGGGGGTTTCAGCTAAGAAAAAGGAAGCCTTCAGCCCCAAATGACTGCCTTTCCAAAGGCGTTTTTCTGAGAAGAAAGTCGTTTTCGGTCTCCACTGTACTGCTGGAGATTTCTGTGACCTGTCCTTTAGCTTTGTCATGTTTCCCAATTTTCACAGCCCTCACTCTTCCAATTAGACAGCCCCAATCCATATGTTTAATTTAATTCCAGAGGCACTGCTTTAATGATTCCTGTCAGTTGCCATCAGCTACAAGATGAAATCCTATGTGCTGGAAGGCAAGTTTAGGGTCTGTCTTTTCTTTTTTACAACAAAACAACGGTCATTTTCTTCCTCTTGGAAATGTCTTGTATCCAAAACGTGGCAAGGCATTGTGTTCCACTGTGTTCTCACAGATAGGGGAGACTAGTTCCTAGCTGTGAGTGGAGATACAGTGGTGGATCTAGTGCAGAGGGACATTTAGGGTTCCTTTTTTTATGTGAGAGGGAGTGAAGGTCCAAATTCCTTGGCTCCATGAAGATGATATGGGTTGTAACTGGGTTATGGGCTAAAGACATATCAGCTGTGACCATGTTAACAGGAGCAGAGGAAGGTTTTGTGCTGTAACTTCCGTTGCTGGGGGAATTTACCATAGCTTTGGCATATTTGTAGTAATTAAGCTTTAATGAAATGCATACTGAGGCGTTTGTGCATTTGTTAAAATAAGCAATACAGCTATCATAAATTAAACCTCAAAGCAGGTAGGAACTTAGCTGTGTGTCTGTATTTTGTAGCGTAGTGACCTTTTCTTTATCCAGCTAGTCCAGTTTTCATCGTTTCTGCAGAAATAAAATGACAGTGAAATATTGAATCATCCTCTCAACCGTCTCTGAGGTTGAAAACTGCTTGTGTGGAGAGGGAAACTAAGGCATGGAGCATCATGGAAGCTCTGAGTCCCAGTGGGATGAATTTGAGTAGTTCTAAAAGACACTGGAATCTGCTTTTGCTTCCACAGAGCTGGAGTCAGCACTGCAGGTGGGGTCTCACCAGAGTGAAGCAGAGGGGCAGAAGCCCCCCGTCAGCAGCTGCCCGTGCTGTGGGGTCAGCCCAGGATCCAGGGGGGCTCTGGGCTGCCAGCACACTGTCAGGTCAGGTGAGCTTTGTCTTCTTGGGCATCACTGGCGCCTGTGCCTCTTCCACACATGCACTGAACGTGCTGTGTGGGTGTTTTATACTGGTAATAACAATTCCTCACACACAGTGGTATTCTAGTGGGTTTGTTCTGAGATTGGTGAAGGGTAACTGATCTGGAGCAGTTCCCTGTCTACAGGCAGTGACATGATGAACTGGCGCAGTCTTGTTATCTATATTAGGTACATACATCTGTTCCATGGGGGGTTTTTCACTCCGTTCACTTCAGGCAAGTCATTCAGAGCTGTCTGCAGTGGAGCTGGAGAAATATCTGGGTGCCTTTGGAAGCGGGTACGGCCGAGTGTGTCACCTGTCAGAAGGCTGAGGAGTTGGACATGGGTTTCAGCTGTGATGGCAGGACATTTGGAGGGCTGAATCCTACAAACTGGGGCATTGGCTTTCAACCACTCCCTTTCTGGGTGTTTTTGATGAACAGTGTCCACTCAGCTGTTCCTGCAACTGTTCCCCACACCACTGCCTTGTGTCCCCATTTCAGACCTCTGGGCACGAGTACCCCTCTTTTCAGGGATTAACAGCATCTAATGTCCTGTAGGTCAGGCACAGTGAGATATTGTCAGTTTAGCAGGTTCCTGCACCTCTCCAAGCCACGGAAATGGCCTCTCTGCTTGTTTTCCCAGGCAGGGAGCAAGGCTTTTTTGGATCTCATAGTCCCTTTTTATCCTTGTTTGAGGAGTCAGTCATTTTCATCTAGGTCAATAATGAACCACCACAGAGCGAGGGAATGCTGTGGCTGCCTGACTTTCTGTGCCACGGGTAGGCGTGCACATGTTCCTGGGAAGGCACACGTCCACGTTTAGCCTCATCCAGGGGAAAAAAAAAAAGAGTGGACAGGGGCTGGAGTGCGAGCAGCAGCTCCTCCCAGCCCTACTGAGTTTTACACAGCTAAGATACAGCCACACAAGGATCCCCTTTGTGTCCAGGCAGGAGCTGTGGCTCCCGCACGAGCTCGGGGCAGCCGCGTATCCGAGCGCGCCCAGCGCCTGCATTGTGCCGGTGCCTCGCGGTCAGGGGGATCACCGGCCTCCTTGGTTCACCAACCCCAGCTGCCGGCGCCCTGGCCCAGGCACAGCGCCTCTCCTGATGCATCTTGTCATTGATTTCCCACCCCCTGCATTGTGTATGTGTATTTATTTATTGAACAATATGTTGGTCCGGCCATTACAAGCAGAAAGCACTTTCCCCAATCGATTGAACTGCCCAGCCAACTCCAGCCCAGCATTGCCCTCTGAGTCATCACCAGGGTCAATTCAGATTTATATTCACGCTGATGAATAGGCTCTGCCTCTAATCCAATCAAAACTTGATCAGCAAATTAAAACTCAGCTTGTTGAGGCTGTTGAGCACAGGTGAGTTATGAGGGAGGCTGGAGCAGCCCAGCCAGCCACCGGCTCCTTCTAGGATCTGGCATGGGGTGCTGTTCTGCCCAAATGCCTGGCAGCAAGAGGAGGAACTCAGGAGGTGTACTGGCCAGAGAATCCGCTGTTTAAAATTCACTCATCACAGGGTAGTTTGGGTTTGGAAGGAGCCTTAAAGCTCATCTCATTCCAACTCCCCTGCCGTGGGCAGGGACACCTGCCACTAGCCCAGGTTCCTCCAAGCCCCATCCAACCTGGCCTTGGACACTTCCAGGGATGGGGCAGCCACAGCTTCTCTGGGCACCCTGTGCCAGGGCCTCACCACCCTCGCAGCCAAGAATTCCTTCCCAGTATCCCTTCTAACCCTGCCCTTTTTCAGTGGGAAGCCATTCTGCCTTGTCCTGTCCCTCCACCCCTTGTCCAAAGTCCCTCTCCAGCTCTCTCGGAGCTCCTGTAATCTCCTGATTTTGCAAGTCACTTCCATGTTCCAGGGACATTCACATGCTTTGTGCCACTGAATGCAGTTCCTCTGCGTTTTGATGGCGCTGTTACCTCTCCTACAGCCTAATTTGCTTGAATGTCCCATTACCTGCAAATTGGATAGGTACAATCAATAGTTGTGATTCCAGGAATGTCTGACTGATGGAGAAGTGCCTGGAGGGGTCGGCACATCCCAAAAGCAGGAGATGAGATTGAAAGATGATTGGAGAGAGAGCCTGGATGTGTGATGTGTTGTTACTAGACCAGTGCCAGGATTTTGGAAGAGCAGAGTTTGCCAGGAAGTGATATCTGTGCTTATTAAACTTGAGCCTTCCAGCTATGGTAAGAGCTACGGGAATGTTTCTTACCGCGGGGTGAATATGGTGCAGGGGGTAGTTCATAGAGAGGGCAGAGCAGTTCTGCCATCATCACCCACCACATCACTCTTACACCACCTTGCATGTAGCAGCTGTGGTCCTCTGCTCAGCTTCTCACAAAAGGTCACTGCCCAGAGAATGCTGAAGGATGAAGAGGAAGGGGCTTCCTGAGTGTCCAAGAGCACACAGAGGTGATATCTGATGGAGTGCCTGGGAAGAACATTCATTTCTATGTAGTCACTGAGAGCAGGAAAGGAAGATGGATGGAGTTATCAAGAAAATGGCAAGTCATCCTGTGTTACCGTAAGACTCACTTGGTACCTGAAGCTCACCCATGGGCTACAAGGTTGTGGATTAAAGTCCTACACTGGGACTTGGGATCATTTCCCTTAAAATGAGGCAGATGCAGGGACCTGAAGATATTTTAACCTGTGAGCTAAAATTGGAGTAGAGGGATCTCTTTGGTGGTGACAGCCATAAGAATGGGGTCCCAGAAGGGTGGTTTGACCGTGTCAGAGCCTGTACTTCCAAGGACTTGAGTGATCAGAGACTCAGCTCCCTGGTGGGGATGTTGGAAGAGCTGATACAAGGATCACTGTAGGTCTGTGCAAGGATCACAGTAAGTCAGCTGCTAGGGCAAGATTGTCAAAGGCTTAATTGAGGCACATAATTTCTTCCCTCAAAGGGTTGTCCAGCCCTGGCATAGGCTTCCTAGGGCAGTGGTGGAGTCCCTGTCCCTGAAGGGATTTAACAGCCATGTAGATGTGGCACTTGAGGACATGGGTTAGTGGTGACCTTGGCAGTGCTGGGGGAACAGTTGGGCTCAATGGTGTCACAGGGTTTTCCAATCCAAATGATTCTGTGGTTCCATGACTTTATCCTGTTTAAATGAGAGAATGGCTTTGTACTGGGAAGAATGGCTGGGAGGTTGAAACTACCTTCCAACCCAAACCATTCTGTGATTCTGTGAATGTCTTTATAGCAGGGAGAGTGACTTTATACTGCGGGAATGGCTTTATACTGGAGGGAATGAGTTTATACAATGGCTGTATTATATAGGTGGAGGTCTGTCTCTTCTTCCAGGTAACAAGGGACAGGACAAGAGGAAACTGCCTCAAGTTGTTCTGGGGAAGGTTTAGGTTGGACATTGGGAAAATTTCTTCCCAGAAAGGGTTGTCCAGCCCTGGCACAGCTGCCCAGGGCACAGGGGGAGTCCCCATCCCTGGAGAGATTTAAACGGTGGTGGCCCTTAGGTTAGCAGTGGCCCTGGCAGTGCTGAGGGAATGATTGGACTCAATGGTCTTAGAGGGCTTTTCCAACCTGAACAATTCCTGTGATTCTGTCTCCTGCCCCCTGTCCTGGTGCTGTGCTCACTAAATGGGACTCTGGACGTGGTGAGGAGCGCGCTGGTGCCGGTAAGGAGCCGGCCTCTATTGCACCATCCTCAAAGAATAAAATAACCACCTCTGATTCTGCTAATGCATTTATAGGGTAAATGAGAGAGAAGCTTAAGTTAAATTCCAGATGTGACTTGACAGGCCAGAGCCCGCAGATACGTGTCAGTCAGGCTGCGGCGCTGTCAGCCTGTGAACCGTGTCACCGCTGATGAATGCTAACAAACGAGTTACTGTCTAGTTGTCATGGGAAGCTTGAACCCTGGGAAAAAAATTAAGAATTAACTGGCTTCAAGCTGCTTTCAGAAGTGGTGAGAAATCTAATTCTGGCCTGATGATTGTTTGGGTTCAGAAGCAGAGATTGAGGACTTCCACACCAAAACTGCCTGGACAGTGTGTGCTGTGTGGTTCTGTCCTGCTGCAGTGTCTTCATAATGTGCAGCATTTGCTAGCAGCCCAAAATCCAACCATGTGATCCCCAGCACCACGGGCAGCAGGACGAGGGAGAGCATTCTGCCCCTCTCCTCCCCTCTGGTGAGATCCCACCTGCAGTGCTGCCTCCAGCTCTCTCAGCCTGTCTCCATAGCAGAAGTGCTCCAGCTCTCTGATCATCTTCAGGGCCTCCTGCAGACTTGCTTCCCATGGAAGTTGCTTGCTCTTTTTGTGGTGGTAGGATGGCACCAATATAGGTTACAATAATTTTCCTTCTTGCAGGGACAGGGGTGACCTTGGAGCCGAGATCTGCATCTGGGAATGCCATGTGCTCAGGGCATGTTCTGTGCAGGTCTTCTTGGGAGAGCTGCATATCCCTATGATGTCACCTGTTCTTTCAGTGCCTCCCCCATCTCATTCATTCTAAAATATGCTGCTGGAATCCTGTTTGTTGAATATTCAGCTGTAATTGTGGTTTCTTAACAATATTAACATATTAACATCCCTGGGAACATTTGAGGAGGGCTTTCTGAGCACTTTTCGGTCTCTGAAGGACTTTAATTCCTCATATCCTGCTTCTGCCTTACTTTCCTTCTGTTTTGTGACAGTGTGGTGAAGGCCCTGCTCACAGCTAATGCAGATCCAAACCTTGGTGATGATTTCAGCAGTGTGTATGAGATTGCTAAAGAAAAGGGCCTCCACTCCTTGGAAGGTAAGATAGTTTCTGTGCAGCTACCAGCATTTGCTTTTCAGCTCCCAAAATATTTTTTCCTTGGGGGGGTTTTTTAGAGCTTTGCATTTAACTTCCATTTAAATGCAAAGTAGCTGATGGTATGTGGGTGAGTGTGTGTCTAAAGAGGAAAGAAACCTTATGTAGATGGTATGTAGAAGCAATCCTTCAACTTCCCAGAGGGAAATTGGTTTTATATAGCCAGAACATAATACAAAGTCATAGATAGGAACGTCATCCCATTGACCCACATGCAGCCACATGCTGGGGAAGGAGAAGGGTTCAAGGCAGTGTATTCCACCAGCAGCTTTAATCCAGATCTTGTCAGGAGATACAAAATGCAGAAAGACTTGGCCAATTGAAATAAAGCTGAATGATGTAACTGGTTGCAGTGACTGCTGCTGGATTTGGGCAGGCATCAGTGCCAGCTCTCAGCCCTGGAAGCCTTTCCATGGAAACAAGGACATTTTCTGCAGAGTCACGTCATCTCATTATGATTATTCTTCGTGGATGTCTCAGGTTCCAGTCTCCTCCCTTCATTATCCCCATCACTGGGATGTTGAGGCAGACTCAGAATCACAGGATCATGGAATGGTTGAGGTGGGAAGGGACCTGTAAAGCCCATCCAGTCAAACCCCCTGCCATGTGCAGGGATACCTTCCACTAGACCAGGTTGCTCAGACATTTGCTTTGTTTACACAGGCCAATTTAAATTTCCCAGACTGTTTCCACTTCCAACGATAAATGGTGGTTAAATTTTCTTGGGTTTGTGATTATTGGTGGAATCTCAGGGGGGCTGTCTGGATTCTTGGTGCCCAGCTGTGCTTCGCAGCAGCCAGCTGCATGTTCAGGCATGCTTCTGTTCTCCAACCTGGCAGGAATGCTGGCAGGACCCAACCCTCCTAAAATTTCCTGGCTGTTTCCTTCCCCATTCCAGAAGCCTTTTCCCCATCCGAGCGCTGTGCTGACCTGCTGACCTCACATCTGAGCTGGACTGCCATGGGATGTGTCCCAGCCATCCCCACTGCCCTGCCAGAGCCCAGCCATGGGATGTGTCCCAGCCATCCCCAGTGCCCTGCCAGAGCCCAGTCAGCCACTGGGACTTGCATTCCCAGGGACAGCATTCCCAGGACACAACACAGTTGTGTGCTGTGACCTGCTTGGAAGTTAAACCTTGTCCCAGCTGCTCTGAGGGAGGAAGCCACACAGGTTGTGCAGAGCCTCACTCTGCCTGTGTAATTTGCAGAGCCTGAGTCACAGAGTCATGGAATAGAATTGTGGAATTGTTTAGGTTGGAATAGCCCTGCCAGACCATT